ACAGTCCACACTGACCCCCCGCCTCAGAGGCCCCCGCGGATCACTTCTGGGAAGGGCCGGGAGCAGGAGCCGGAGGGGCAGTGGGGTCCGGGCAAGGCACGGACCCTGAGTGGCCCGCGGAAGGCAAGTGCTGGCTTCAGACCGTGCAGAGGGTGTCAGGGACTCATAGAGGCCGAACCTCGGCCCCAGAAAAGGAGGTGAAGGGGAGAGGGGCGAGGGGGCAGCCAGCCAGCCCCCAGATCCCTGCAGGAGGGGAAGGGATGCAGGCACCGGGGAGGGACCCTTCCTTCCCACAGCAGCTGGTCTGGCCAGGCTGTTGAAGAGGGGGCGGGGACATCTGGCTCCAGGGCCCTAAAACGCTGTGTCCTGCAACACGCAAAACCCAGATCAGGGTCGCGGGGGCTGGCGTATGGCCCATGGCAACACCCTTCCTGCCCACCTTCATCTACTTAGGCCAGGTGGGAGACATAAGTTACCTGCATATGGCCTGCGTGGGGCCAAGAAGGTGGCCCAGATCCTGCAAGATGGATGGCAAGGGGTTTGGGAGTGGTCGCAAAAATTCCACTTTAGTTTTGTTTTTTTCCCCCTATGTGATAACAGGAAGCAGCAGAAGCAGACGGAGTGATCCCTAAAACCTTCTAAAATGAAAACCTCTCCTCTAGCAGGGTAAGCCATTCTCCAAACTTCATCGCTGAAGAATGCCGGGAGAGTCAGACTGCTGGAGGCATCCGCTGGCAAATGTGCCCTAATATTCATACCAAACACGCGACCAGAAGGGCAGGTCCCAGGATCTACATCTGCTCGGAGCCAGGCTTGCCGCCCATTTCACGGAGGGACACCTAACCCTGAGTATGGGTGCCTTGCTGGGGGCACAGGCAGGAGTGAACCCACTTCTTTCGCTAGGAGAGAGGTATTCCGCCAGCAGGAGCTCCAGACTCTTGGACAGGAGGTGCCTGGGGACATGATGGGGGGGCAGGAGGGGCTGGCGGCCTTGTTTAAAAACCGTACAAAGATCCTATGTCCGAGGGCAGAATTTTTAGAGGAGCTGGTGAAGACTGTCGGCAGCCTAAGCAGCCCTAAACCAGAAGGCCGCTAGTGTCTAACCTAATAGGCTGAGAAACGTTTGCCGGGTTGAGTCCCAAGGAAGTAAAAACTGAAAACGGAAGGTCCCCTCCTGGCTTCAATGCACAAAGACAGCCAATCTCCCTCTGCACCAGGCTGGTCGTCCCAGCACGGGCTGGGGGGGTCTGATCCCCGATCTTCTTGCTGCACAGACAGTGAGGGTAAAAATGAACACAGATGCCATTATACTGCACCAGTCCAACACACAGCGGTCCCCCCTGACCATACTTAGGGCCACCGAGATCGATGGCCATCATTATACAATCAGGTTTGGGGGCGTCTGGGAGACTCAGTCGCTTAAACGTCTGACTTTGGCCCAGGCCATGATTTTGTGGTCCATGAGTTTGAGCCCCGCGTCGGGCTCTGGGCTGACAGCTCGAACCCTGGATCCTACTTCGGATTCTGTGTCTCCCTCTCTCTCTGCCCCTCCCCTGCTCGCGCTCTGTCTCTCTCTCTCTCTCTCAAAAATAAATGAACATTTAAAAAAAAATATGTACACACACACACACACACAAACACACAATCAGGTTTCTAATGACTAGATGCTGGTCACACTTTACTTAAAATGTGGGATACAAAAATGTTACTGGTGACGGGGGAGAGGGTATTCAGAGAAACAGGTGATGTCCTTGTCTTTCAGGGTGGCTGAAAGGGTGGGGTGGCACGATCTGAGGCCGATGTGACTGCCAACCCGGAGACCGGTCACATCGTGGCCAGGCTGTGGTCAGAGTAAACCAGAGTTTCAAATACGGGCTCCAAGGGACAGCCCCAGAGCCCCCCAGGACAGAGCTCCCTCTCACATGGGCAACTGTGTCTGGCCAACTCCAGGCTTAGCAGCAGCAGGAATGTATTTATTTCATGATTTTTGTTAAGTGGAAATGGAGAGACTGGCTAATAATACAGTTGATGCTTGAACAGCACGGGGGTTAGGGACACCTGTGCAGTTAAAAATCCACATGTAATCTTCTGACTCCCCAAAAAACTTTACTAATAGCTTCCTGTCTACCGGAAGCCTTACCGGTCACGTAAGCAGTGGATTAACACATATTTCGTGAGTTATGTGTGTTTACCGTATTCTCAAAGGAGAGTAAACAAGGGAAAAGAAAACGTTTTAAAGAAAATCATAAGGAAGAGAAATACATTTATAGGACTCTACTGTAGTTATCCAAAAAAATTTGCATAGAAATGGACCCCGAGCACTTCAAACCCATGTTGGTCAAGGGTCAAGGGCGTTCTCTCCGTCTTGGGAGCCCATAGGCCCTTCCTGGACATTATCTCTCTCCTATCATCCTATTAATGTCATTCCCATCACAGAGGCGAGAAAGCTGACAGTCAGAGAGGCTCTGTGATTTAGCCAGGGTCAAAAGGCGGGTAGCTGGGGGAGCCAAAACTCAAGACTGACTACAAAGCCCAGGCTCCTCTTATTTTAGCCTTAGGAAAGGGGCTCAGAACCCAGGAGGCGGGTGATCTTTCGTTGAAGAACTAAAGATGGGGCGTGCTCATTGTCTAGGGTCAGACAGTAGCTCTGGAGAGAGCTGACTCACTCAAAGCACCCAGCCATCAGAGGTCTGTCTGTAGATATGGGGCAGGAAGTGGAGGGGCGGGGGGGTGGGGGGAGGTAGTCAAGCAGGTAGGATGCTGGAGGGCCCTGGAGAGCATTCTCCATTCCATGATTGGCTGCGGAGGCCCCTGAGACACCAGAAGACAGATCAAGTGGGAAGGGACAGAGTGCCCTACTCACTCTGCTTTAGGGCCCTTCTGTACAAACCTGGGTCACCTATTTGGGCCACTCTGTCCAGCAGCCTACCCAAGGTCACTCCCCACCCCCGTCTCCATCCATCGCCCCTCATGCCTAGGAGCAAGCCCGCCTCCATGAACAGCTCTCCTCCTGGACCACCAACTAGTCTGGTGGTCCCGACTCTTGATAGGTCTCAGGAAATGCATTTTAAACCGCCGAGTGCCATTAACCCACCCAGCCACTGCAGGCAAAAAAACACCATGGGCAATGTCCCTTAGTACCCCTCCTCCAATTCTGTGTGCTCGGTCTCTCTGCCCATCTGTGCTAAAGCTGGTCAGAGCCACTCCAGGGCGCATTCCCAGCCAGTTTTGGAAAGCTGAGTTCCACTCCGAAAAGCAGGGGAAGGTCCGTTCCTGGAGAAGAGTGTAGGTACCATACGATATAGTTCCATTCACTTCTAAATCACACTGGGTTTACAAATTCAGAAACAGCTCAGTCTGGCACCCAGTGAAGGAAGTGGAACACAAAATTAACTTGGCCACATCTCTCCTTATCAGTGATACTGAGGCCTTATATGGCAAGGGCCTTTTAATGATGAGCAGGCTTGTGGATATTCTTAGCCGGACACCAAGCTAAGGAAAAATGACTGTCACTCTCCAACAACTGTTAAATACTTACAGGTCTACTTCCTCTCATATTCACTGACTCATGACTTTTCCAAAGAAGGAATACATGCTTTCCATCACCCAAACCTGAGCACACACACTGCAAACATCTTAATACAGATGCGGATTTTCACATGCAAAACGTTTCAGCTCTTAAATACGTTTTGAACCTATATTTTCATGCCTCCGGTTTAACACACCCTTGTTTTTCCTGGCCAAGTCTTCAGAGTTGAAAGTCCAATGGAGACTTTTCTTTGAATTCTGTCAGAATAAGGCAATACTGAGAGCACATTTCACACATCCCTCGCACGTAAATGGGTTTACAACCACAGACATTTTGTATTAATACATGGCTCAGCATAGCCAGGTCTGAGAATCAGATTTAAAACTCGCTGTTAACCAGGATCCCTTCCACAATCCACAATCCACAACACGCTCCGAAAAACTTGCCAAGCCCCGCTCCCCTCCTCCAGGCTCACAGCCTTAACAGAGTGCGCGTTTCATTTGTATACTTTGTTTTTTATACCTCTTGCTCCTTTTGACTCTGCCCTTCATGGTAAAAGTTTAGTGTGAAAGGCCAGCCAGCCACAGTGCAAATTCTAATGGCACCTAAGAGGTTTCAGTGAAACAAACAAAGAAGGAGCAAAGGAGAAAGACCAAGTTTACAAGCAGCACTCAACACTCAGGCCTCTGATTTAGAAGCAGTCATCCCCGAGTTCTTTCTTGTATGGTTAAAGTGTTTCTCTCCTCTAGAAGCCAGCGCAGTGTCCAGACCAAAGACGCAGACATGCCCTTATATGTAGCAAAGGCTTGTTGGGAGTCCATTTGAACTCATCCCTTAGTTTCTTGCTGGAAAACCGGGGCTCCGTGCTCACCCCAAACCAAAGTTGCACAGCTGTGCTCACCTGGAAAGCATTTTAGGGAAACATCTTCGGTTTTGCCTCCTAACCCAGGAAGGCACCTCACCCTTCCCGTTGTCTTGCTTGACAATTTCACTAGCCCCATACAGCTCATCACAAATATTAACATTAATCTATATAACTTTCTGAGTGCCTTCCCTGGCAGGCACCGCGCCTGGGGTGGGGGTTGGGGGACTGAGGCTCTAGGAAGTTAAGTGACCCTGGCCATACAGCTAAGTAACAGAGTGGATTAGAACTCAGGCTTGGCTGGCTGAAAATTCCTTGCTCTTTCCACACTGGTCCACCTCGCTAAAGAGCAGCCGCCTACGGCTTTCGGAGAAGTCTCTGGATCCGGTGCAGCCCAGCCGAGCAAGTCTAGATGGAGGGTCTTCAAAGACCTCCTCCTCACGGCGATTCTCCAACTCCCCCTGGGGAGCCCCCAGCCCCGCGCGGGCGGCCCTAGGACGCCCCTCGCGCCCGCTCCCATCCCCCGCGCCTTGGTGCCGGCCCCGAGCCCCGCAACCCGCAGGGACGACGCGCGGAGGGGAGAGGGTCTCCGGCCCCGCCCGCACCTACCTCGTCCCCAAAGCGCACCACCTTCTGGCCCGTGGGCCCGCGCAGGCCGGGGAAGCGCGCCAGCTCCTCGGAGTCCCCGGGGTCGCCGGGGTCGCGGGGCGCCGGGGCGCCCGGCCCCACCAGGCACCGGTCGATGATCTCGTCCTGCTGCGCGGGCGGCAGCCGCGCCCACTCGGGCCCGTACTTCTCGCGGATCTTCTCCTTGTCCTGCATGATCTTCCTGGCCATGGGGCTCAGCGACGAGAAGTAGGTGAAGCGCTTGCGCTCCCGGTCATCCAGAGGCCGGTTCCCACTCATGACCGCCGAGCGCGAGGCCGCGATCGCCGCCGCCATCGACGCCATGCCCGGCCTGCCCGCCGCTCCCCCAACCCGTGCCCCTCCCCACGCCCCTCCCCGCGCCGCGCCGCCCCCGCAGCCCGGAGCCCCGCCCCGCGAGCCCCGTCCCCCGCCCCCGAGCGCGGCGCCCTTCCGCCCCCGAGCCCCGCCCCCGTGCCGGCGCGACCCGGGAACCCCGCGCCCCGAGGCTCCAGGAATCACCCTCCGAGCCCGCACCCCCGAGGACCCGCCTCCCGAGCCCGATGACCCCCAGGAACCCCGCCCCCTACAACCTCCCCGCCCCTGGAGCCCCGTGCCCCGCACCCCCGAGGACCCTGCCTCCCGAGCCCGCCCACCCGCCGGAACCCCGCCCTCCGCAACCTCCCCGCCCCGGGCACCCCGCCCTCCGCCCCCGCCCAACTCTGGGAACCCCGCGTACCCCTAACCCCGAGTACCCCGCCCCCCCGCCACCTCCCGGCCCGGGGGAGCCCCGCGACCTCACTCCGGCCCCCTCGCTGTACCCCGCCCTCCCCACCCAGACCCCCGAGAACCCTGCCCACCGAGCCCGCCCAACCACGGAACCCCGCCTCCGAACCCGCCCACTCCCAGGAATCCTGCCCACCACCCCCTCCCGAGCCCGCCCCTCTCGGGAACCCCACCCTCCGCGCCCCCTACTCCCGGAACCCCGCCTCCCCGAGCCCGCCCACTCCCGGGAACCCCACTCTCCACGCCCCCCTGCCGGGTCTTTATCGCTCTTGTGCGTTCTTGCGGCTTCCCCACTTTTCAAGGCTCCGCTTGGGCTGCGCTGGAGATGGCGGGCGCGCCCCCAAGTCCGCGTCCGGAGGACTGCCCGGGATGCTGGTGGTGGTGACCGCCATAGCGCCACGTGGTCACTTGTTTGACAAAGGAAACTTTTCTCCCTCCAGTGTGCCAAGAAAACCCGATTTCAGGACCGAGCCACCGGCCACCTCTTTCTTGTCCTGTCCCTTTCCTTGATGAGCCGTCTTCCTCGCTTTCTTGGAGCCCAGCCAAGACACTGGGACAGGGTCTGGGCGCCGCAAGCGACAAAGAAGGGGTGGGCCCCGGGAGGCGAGGAAGCCCAAGGGGACGACCTGGGGACACTGGACTAGAGTCCGGGCCTTTCAAAGAAAGTTAGTTCCCGCTCCTCTTAAAGAGGCCGAGGAGTGAAATGAAGTGCCGGCTGGCTCACTGGGCCTTTCCTTACATGAACTGCCGGACAGGTGCAGGGGCCGGCGGCGGGACACCTGAACTTGGCCTTCCCATTGCACGTGAACAGGTTTTCCCCGAGCGTCTGCGTGGTCTTTGCTTTTTCCCAAACCACGGATGAAATGACAGGATTTACTTTGGAATCTCAGAGATCGCAAGAACTCTCAGCAGCTCGGTATTTGCAAACTGAAGAGGCGCGGAAAGTTTTCCTAGGCAGAGAAGCAACAATAGTTAAGGCGGGTTTGTCTTTTTGAAGTGTGTTCCAGATCACAATTAAAATAATATAGAGACCTCATCTACTTCAACATCTTGCTGTTTTGCACAAGACAATAACAGTCTCAGATGAGAATTTAGAACTCTTAGAACCAAAAAAAAATGTGCATTTCAGCTGTTAACTTATCGTCTTTGCCTCTAAAGTAATACTTGGATAATTCTGAACACAGTCCTAGAAATAACTTGCAAAGTTCTGTTTTAAATGTGAGGTAGCCTTAGCATATCCTGGCCCAGAAATCCTAAGAAGATATTTTTGGAATGTCATCAATGTGAGAAGATCTATAAGAAAAGATATTGCTATCAACAATGTGATGAGCATAATATATTGAAGCAGTGGGAAAAGCCAACAGATAATAGTCTGGGTTGCAGGATATGTGAATGACTATTTATGAAGCCACCGGGTTGAGAAGAGTTTGGTAGTATTATCCTCTCTATTTAAGTTGACACTATGTTTATGCTCCGCACACTAACCTGAATCCACGGAATCTTATCTGTCTTGTTTACTGTCAGGTACAAGAATGCCTGGTTCAGAGTAAGTGCTCAGTGACTATTGAATGAATCATGAATGAATGAATGAATGAATGTTACATAGTTAGCATTATTATCCCCCTAATCCTTGTTTCATAATGGGTGTGGTCGATTTTTAAAGATGTATTCTGGAAACTTAACTAACATCTTTGAACTTGCTTTCAAATTCACGTAAGAAGGCTTCTGTGCTATTAGAAACTCAGTCCCATGTGATTTTCCAAACCGTTGCAAAAATAAATGTTGCTTTCAAAAAAAGCACAAACCAATTATGTATATTTCAGATAAAATAAAACTTGTTGCCAGAGAAATCATAATATAAGTATGATATGAGATATATCAGAGACATCAGCCAAAGCATGTGAAGTCCATGGTCTGGGTGATAAGGGCTAACTGAAAGAAAACTTCCAGATTATAAGAAACTCACAGGAATTAAATCGCTCTGATGGATGACTTAACTGAAATTGGCGTAGAAAATTATTTATATATGTTTATAAATATATATATTTTTTAAACTATATTTGTCATATTTGCCTACATGGAAGGTACATTGGTGTTTATGTATGGCTATTTCAGGACTCTGATCTTCTTTCTTGAGGGTAAGGGCCGGGCTCCTTTCTCTGTTTTCCATCCCAAAGTCCCTCCTACACAACTGAATGTCAAATAGGCTCTTAGTACAAATGTCTGTTGAATGAATTTGTTGTCCCAAGCAAGTAATTTGTGAGTGTTTTTATTTGTTTGTTTTCTTTTCTAATGTTTATTTAAATTATTTTGAGAGAGAGAGAGAGAGAGCACGCCAGGGAGGGGCAGAGAGAGAGAGAGAGAAGAGAGAATCCTAAGCAGGATGTCAGCCCAGAGCCCCACTTGGGGCTCGATCTCACAAAACGTGAGATCATGGCCTGAGCCCAAATCAAGAGTCAGATGCTTAGCCGACTGAGCCACCCAGGCGCCCCCCACCCACATGATTTGTGTGCCCAACCCCCTCCTGGTGGAAATGCCCTGCGGGCTAATGGAAAACCACAGGACAAACAGTCTAGCCCTGCTTCTAAGAGTTGATTGACCAGCTCTAACAGTTTGGGAGTAAGTTGCTGAACCTAATGGTGCAATTCTAGACACCATGGCAAACAGCTGACAGTTTAGGGAAGGGATACTTTTGATGATGTGACAGGGCAGTGTCCGGGTGGATCCAGCTGGCCTTCCTTACAGATGCTTTCAGCTTGGCTGCAGGAAGGCTCCCTGAGCACGATGATTCATACCTACATCTGTTACTGGTTATTCCAGATGCTACCCTGCAAAAGGACTATACTCTGCTGTGCACTCCCACACCCAGAAAGAATGGGCAATGGGCTAGGGTGAGCCTGGTTTATTTAGAAGACTGGTACCCTGGCCATTGGAGGGCAGCACTCATGACTGAGACAAGGGAGAACGAAGGAAAGACAAGCAGCTGAGTTTACAAATCTGTTGGCAGAAAAAATGTGCTTTGGGTTATTTTTCCAGCCGTAGGGAGAGCTTTCTCTCTGTCCGTCATGGTCTGTCACTAAGTCCAGGCAGGTGGGAGGCACCCTCTGGCCCTTCAGAAACATGATCATCTTCTCCGGGCAAAGCCACATGACCCACATGAGGTTCAAAAGCGGGCCTTTCTCTGTTGACATCATATTTTACATAGCAATGTCAACCGGCTCAACTGCTCTGAAAAATGCTAAAAGGCTTCTTGAAAACAACAACAAACATCTTCTAATTGCCTGAAAATATGCCTTTAGAAAAGCCTCTGCAATTTTCAGCCCTCTATAAGCATCTGAGTAAGTCTAGAAGCAACTGTTCATTCTTTTTTCCCCTTCATCTGAAATCCCCACTCTGCTGTCTCCAAAAGTAGAAATCCTATCCTTAAGACCTAGCTCCAATACCCCCTTCTCCATGAAGCCTTCAAGATTGGCCGTGCTCAAAAGTAGTAGGTAGTAGTAGTAGGTAGAGTTGGTGAAGTGCCTGACTCCTGGTTTCGGCTGAGGTCATGATCTCACCATTCGTGCATTCTAGCCCCGCACTGGGCTCTGTGCCTCCTCACTTCTCTGTCTCTAAATAAATAAGTAAATAAATAAATAAATAAAATGTATTTTAAGTAATAGGTAGACACAGAAGAGCCAGTTCATCTCCTTTGTAGCTTGATCTCAGATGGACTTCAGGGTCCTGGAACATTTTTGGCATTATACATGTGTGCATGTTGTGTGCCGCCCCCCTCCAAATTCATGTGTTGAATCCCTAACCCCCAGTGTCTGGTATTTGGAGGTGGGGCTCTTGGGGGGTGATTAAGTCATGAAGATGGGGCCCCCAAGATGGTATATTGCCTTCATAAGAAAATAGGAAATGCATGCCTCTCTTGTTGCTCTCTACCACATGAGGGAGAAGGAGGCCATCTGCAAACCAGGAAGCAGGCCTCACCAGATACCTACATCTTGGCCTTCCCAGTTTCCAGAGCCATAGGCATAAATGTTGGTTATGTAAGCCCCCCAATCCATGGTATTATTGTTAGAGCAGCCTGAATGAAGACAATGTGAAAATGGCTTCAAATTCATATAAAAGCTTTGGTTTAATAAGAATGTATCGATGTCGTTAGAGGGAGAGAGAATGGGGGAGATAAGAATGGCCGCGGGAGAGAAAGGTAGAAAAGAATGGGCACTGCTTTATTGACCGAGAAGTCCAGGGAATTCCCCTCTCTCTTCTAAACTGTTCTCAACATCTAGGGACTTTTTGATGTAGAATGCATTTTCCTGCCTTGTCCTCAGGCTGCGCTGACATTTGTTAAATGGGCGCCTGGCTCTTGGCTTGTGTATGTCACCGCTTTGAGATGTGTAGTTGGTCATCTCAGCCCTCTTGGGGGAGTTTAGTGGAATCCACTGGAGCTCTTTGCTTGGTAGGAGACACGATTCTCTTTGTTCCTATACCTCTTTCAGTATTAGCCAGAGCTCAGGGACTTGGTCAAAACTTTATGCAATAAGAAAGATAGCCTTCTGGCTCT